TGGCAGTTTGAGGAGAGTGCGTCAGTTTGAAATCTGATGTCATCCAGCTGAACCAAGGAGTTGGTGTTCCAGTGTTCTGTTTAGCTGACTGCAAGCATGGAATGCTCAAAGTGGTCATTGTGCTTCTTACAGGTATGACAGTACGAATGCCTCAAACAACTGCATATGTTGTGAACAACGGACTAACTCTTGGGTCTGGAGCACCTCAGCTTACAGTGCATCATCGACCACCACAGGTGCATGCTGTGAGTAGTCATTTTGAAATTAATGCGGTTTACAGGCTTGTCTCTGCATTAATGTCTTTCAGATTGGCTCTTAGTGCGAACTGCAGAATAGTGAAATGCCTTGTAGACACTTTGCAGCCTAGTTCACGTGCATAGCACCACCCTGTCACCTTCAGCAACTTTCTGCCAAGGATGGTAAAAGCTGTGCAATCTGTTAGCTTACCCCAGAGTTCTCCAGATCACCAGTTAGCACATACTGAAAAATGGTGCATGGATTGTCTGCAGGTGACTTGTGGAGTCAAGAGTACAGAAGAATTGCCACTAAAAAGTTAGTCACGGTTTGGCTGCAAATTGGATGACCAGTTTCTCAGTACAGCTGTTTGCAAAACTGAAGTAGGAGAACAAGGTACAGACAAGATCCTCAAGGTTGCTACAGCTCCCAGATTTCAGAGGGGTTTTTTATCACTGTTGGGGGTAATTAGTTCTGCATCACCTCAAACCCCTTTTCAGAAGTATTTGAGAATTTACTCTGACTAATTTTGTATGGTTTTGTTGTTGAGACTGAACCACATACGTTGCCTGCATTACTCACTGTCGGGCAGTTGCATCACTTGTGGTGTCCTGAAATGGTAAATATATTGCCAATAAGGTGGCTCACCATTCTTTCAATCTAGACACCATTCAACTTCATGCATTCTCCAGTGATAAATAAGGAGAACAAATCAAGCTAATATCACACAGAACACTTCAGATTCCAATCTGAAAGGCCCCTGGCTTGAATAACAAAATTTCATACTCATTGCAACCACATTGCTAAATTCATCTTAACTTACATAAATGAGAGATCTGGGACTGCTTCTGTGTAAAGCCGCATTTGTTCCCTTATCTCTAAATTTTCTGGAAACTGAGGCTGAATGTTTGTGATCAATTTAAGGTGATAAAATCCATGTAGCACCGTTACCCATTCTTCTGTTTGCGACTGAAAACCTCCTTGTTGAAAAGATGATGAGTTGTCAGCTTAATCCACTGCCTGGGGTGTTTTGGGTAATGTGGGAATAACAGCTCAAATGTAATCAACTCAAAGTCATTGTGAACCTGCCTGCTCAGCCTGGTAAAGGGCACGGTGGTCGGTCCATCACCTCTTGGGTGGGAAGCAAAGAGGACATAGGGAAATGACTGTAGCAATGGTCATCTCTACAGCTAGGGATGTGTGTGCAAATAAGAACTTATGGCATCCTTGGTCCCTCCCCATTTCAACCATTGCTGTTACTCTCTTGCCTCTGCACACAGGACCTAGAGTCGTGATGGCTGGGTGATTGCAGGCTCATTTGCTTACATTTGCCTGGGGAATGATGAATTAAAACCTCCTTCCACTGCTGTAGACTCTGACCTTTCGTTTTTTGCTGTTATGTTGCTTAGGAGCCACCACGCCCTGTACATCCTGCCCCACTCCCAGAGGCACCACAGCCACCACGTCTGCCCCCTGAAGCTGCCAATACTTCTCTGCCTCAGAAGCCACAGCTGAAGCTGGCACGGGTACAGAGCCAGAATGGTATTGTGCTGTCATGGAGTGTCATGGAGGTGGACCGGAGCTGTGCCACTGTGGACAGTTACCATCTCTATGCCTACCATGAGGACCCGAGTGCCACTATGCCCTCCCAGTGGAAGAAGATTGGGGAGGTGAAGGCCCTCCCGCTACCCATGGCATGCACTCTCACGCAGTTTGTGTCTGGCAGCAAATACTACTTTGCGGTCCGGGCTAAAGACATCTATGGACGTTTTGGACCCTTCTGTGATCCCCAGTCCACAGATGTGATCTCTTCCCAGAGCAGTTAAACTAGAGATCTTGGGAGCCTTTAAACCTGTCCTACTACCAAGAATTACGCCAGTTTGGTGGGGGGCTGATCCCATGCATGAAATTCACTTTTAAATCCACTCTCTGCAGGATCATTTTAGACAGTTGTGTGATACACTACATGCATTCAGAACCAAAAGAAAAATAAAGTCTCACCTGCAGCAAGAGAGCCTGTTTTTTCTGGATAGCTCAAGTGATGGGCCATCTGAAAATTTCATTTTTCCCTTCCATGACAGCTGTTCTGCCTAGATACCCACCTACCTACCCTCTATCCAAGGGCACCCTGGATGCCTGGGATTCTGCTTCAGAGTGGGAACAGCATAATAAATTACAGTTTGTCTGAAGCAAAACATACACACCTGTAATATCTGTAAAGGCACTAACATGAAGGCAGGAACAGATTTGCCTCTTGCCTCCCACCACTCTGTGAGCAGGCTGAGATATGAAGGCTGATTCAAGGTCTCACTTTTGTACTGGAAGATTGAGTGATCTGGTCTTATTTTTGCAAACTGTAACGAACTCTCTGAGGGGAGGGAAGGGAACTTGAGTCTGACCTGGGAACCAATATGTTTGTAAATTTGGAGGTGGTGGGGAAAAAAATAAATCACCCCACTACCTCGTACCTCTCCTAAGTAAGAACAGTCCTGTACTTTCACCATCCTCCCCCACTCATGCTGGGAGCGTTCCACGGTCAGATCTGAAACTGGATTGTAGAGACTGCATTCACACCTCTAGCTCAGAAAATTTCTCTGCCCTTCCCCTCATACATCCAACCCTATTTTTTAGATTTATTTTGTGCCTTAAAGAATAATTTCAGAAATAAATGTAGCCAGATACCTTGTGGTGTTCTTTTGTTTGCTTGGAGTTATTTTTCCCCTTTACCCTTCTAGCCTTTCATTACTGCTGCTCATTTTCTGGGCCTGCAGTAACTATTATTTCTGTAAAGACTAGGAAGTGTAACATCTGCTGATGCTGGGTTCATTTTTATCTGCAGTATCAGTCAACCCTTTCCTCACTGTAATTCTTGAGTAGTTGTTTTTGTCCTGTCAGGAATATTAGAGTATACAGACAGTATTTTCCACCAGAGCCTTTCCCTGTTCTTTTGGGAAAGCTGTATGCTGCAGTTCAGCCAAAGAAGAAACCTCTGTGGTGTGGCACCATGAAAGCTTCTAGCTGTTTGCACTCAATTTGGATGATCAGTTAGTACAAAAAGATAAGAAGTTGGCTTCCAAGTCCTCTGTCTCACCACCTGCCTGCCTCTGCAGAAAGCTAACACACCCAAAGCAGTTTAGAAACTATTTTAGACACTGGCCTAAAACGTGTGAGCAATAGCAAATGTTAACAGATGTTTTCGTGATGTTTCTGAGCTGAGAAGACTGTCATAGACATGTTAAACCTGCTTTTTGGATAACCAAATTGTAACATTCCTAGACAAGAAAGTATATGTAAGGTGTTTATTTTGGCACTTTTCTGTCTTGCTCCTGCCCAGCAGAAACAAATAGCAGATTTAGAAGGGAAGGTCTTTTTTTTTTTTTTT